CTTAACCACCGAACTACCACTCTGTGCTCACACTGCAATAGAAGGTGTCATCCATTTAACTGGTCTCATCAGCTATGCATACCACATGTGCATTTTAAAGTGCCCAGTTGCTTGTTTGCTGTGTACAACAAATCAAGACTGTCAGTCAACAACTTTTGTTGATACGTTAAATAGATATCAGACTAGAGGACTATCAGTCCAGCTGGTTATTGGTATTGTTTTCTGCATGTGGTCTAGAGAGAACTGGAGACTGTCATAGTCTGGGAGGATCAATAAAATACTGTTACTATTATTGTGGGTTTGATTGCAGACATGGTACTCAGGCCTGATTTGCCCAGACAAACCTGCTGTAAAAGAGCATCTCAGCTCTGTTGATCAGACTGTAGGCATTATCAGTGCCAAGAGAAAAGATGGCAGCTCCCTCCATTGTCACCATACTCACATCCTCTTCCCTGCCCCAACACAATGGCCTCACAGATGAGTGAGCAAAGGGCAAGTTGGCAGGTGAAATAACAAATATTTTCCCTTTAAAATCTGGTATTGCCAGTTTTCAGCTCATTGCTATGTGGCTTTTTCATGGTGCTTGATTCAACACAGTGGTCAAAGGAACTTTACTTCTCTGCCACAACTTGTCATTTCATGGCAGCTATGCATGAACAAAGCAGTGCTACATATAGTTAAATAGGCCTGTCCCTGATTCGGTAGGGGGAGGGGAGTGTGATTGAGTTAAACTCCCCCTGCCCTAACAAGGGATCAGCACCATCACTAAAATTTAAATGGCAGCCGTGTGCAGGGTGGGTAGGACTTCTTAGTCCTTGCACGATCAGTTCTGGCCAGGGATATGGAGGTGTCAACACGACCATCTTTATATAGCAGGCAGAAGTTCTGATTCACCCATTCACATTTTAAAAGCACATGAGAAAGAAGGGCTCTGGAGCTGTGTGTTAACTTTGCCCATTGTTGATGCGTTCTCTGGCCGTGTTCCCCACTAGGCATTCAGCCAACGTGAGAAGAGACTCAAAGTAAGCAGCTACCACTGTGTGTGCAATGTGTTCTCTTCCACGTGAGAGAACCCAGAATCCCCTTACCTTGAGGACTCCATGCATAAATGTAGGCCTGTCTATAGGGCTCCTCTGCACCCGAGCTAAATGCAAATGGAGCAGAATGGGCAGTGAGGGGCATGATTCTGCAGACTTCTCACATGTGTTGTTGACATGCTAGGGGTTTCTTTGAACTCCTCCTTCTCTATATGATCAGTTTCTGGTTTTACTTGTCTCCTGATTTTTCATAATCCAGCTTGATCTCCCCCCCCCCACACCTCAAAATGGGGGAAAATAATGTATAAAAACAATTTAAGTCAAGGTTTATGTGATCTGTCAAATGTGTCCTGTCTTGGGCTAAATGCAAGAATATTTCAAAGAAAGCATACCTGAGTCTTCCTGGGATGCTTAGCAACATGTTGTCATCTGAACGAGACCTGCAACCTCTCTCTTATTTCTTCTCCCCCTGCCTCACTTATTTGCTTGGGGTAGTGGGATGTCCACAGTTTATATTTACATTTACTGCTTATATTAAATCTTCTTACCAACGATACTAGCACACAATAATCCATTCTAAGTATGACTGTGAATGTGTGACAATGCACACACATATCCTTCTCTTTTGCTATGTTGTTAATTTCTAATATTCTTATATTGACCGGTAAATTGCAATTTATAATCATATTTGTTTGACTGTAACTTAGTGGCTGATAAGTGATCATTATAAAGATTGGGTTGGATTGTTTATGCGTATATGAACACAATATAATCAACTGAGGAGAGTAAAATCTTTTTTTCAATAAATAAAGGGCAGGTGATATCAAATTGACTGGAAACGCAGCAATGTTAAGCATATTTTGACCATCCTGGTGAATTATTTGAAACCCTGTTCTGTAAAGCGAGCTCTGCCGCCACCCAGTTTCATCATATTCCCTTTTCAGCGCCTAAATGTCCCAAGGCCTCTCATAATGTTAATTACAGACACATTATCCAGTGCTGCAGGATTGCTGGTTGATGTCTCTGAAGCAAAGTTGTCAAAGCAGCCAAAGGCACAGGCTCAATGTAAAGTCCCTACGTGCTGCATGGATCAAAAGAGGACATGAGCAGGAGCATTAAACTTGCAAGCCTTGCAAAAACTTTCACTCGGTGACTGTGCTGGAGATGACAAGCAACTCAGAAGCCGAAGCCATATTGGGTTGTTAAAATGCTGATTGGCTCTCAGCAAGGACTATTAATAGCAAGTGGCAGAATAGTCATTCCCAAAATCACAACCGATAATGTATTCTTATTGCAACTGAGACTTGCAAAAATGCGAATCTTACCTGGAAACAGCATGAGTGAATAACTTCCCCTGACCAGGTAAAGCACGTACTCACTGTATTCAGAATAGAAGCAAAAGGTCTGTGTTCCTACATTCCTTTAGACGGTGGTTCAAAACAGCTGCAGCTATATTTGGATTTTTGGCAGATGTTCATACTGTCTCTTTGCAGATGAATTTTTCCCCCAAGTATCCTTGAGCTTCTGAGTTTCTGGGATGAGTCAGTATGTCACCAGTGCAGCTGTATCTGGTACAGTTAAGCATCTCAGCCTTAATTGAGGTGTGACTGCCCTTCAGCCATATTATCAGTAGACAGTATTAGCTAAGGAATTAGTCATATGCTGAGCAAGATGTGATGGGGGGGCTGGCTGCTGTGTTTGATATTAAGCATGCTCCATTCACTTACAAGGAAGGGATGTGTGGATAAGTGGAGTTGAAACTTTCCTGTCTTACTACTTCACATTCTGTCACCCCAGATGCTTTTTTCCAAGGCCAGCTCAAGTCTAGCACTGGAACCATGTTTGAGAAAAAGTTTATTGAATGACATGAGCCAGGAAGGTAAGATGAGGGAGTGTTTGGCTCCCTCGGCCACAGATCTCTTTCAAAGGAGAATGGACCAGTGAGGGGTCATGGTTAAAGTGTTATCGACTAGGGCTAAAATGGGGAGAAGGAGAACTATGTACACTGGTACCTCGGGTTACATACGCTTCAGGTTACATACGCTTCAGGTTACATACGCTTCAGGTTACATACGCTTCAGGTTACAGACACCGTTAACCCAGAAATAAGTACCTCGGGTTAAGAACTTTGCTTCAGGATGAGAACAGAAATCATGCTCTGGCGGCGCGGCAGCAGCAGGAGGCCCCATTAGCTAAAGTGGTGCTTCAGGTTAAGAACAGTTTCAGGTTAAGAACGGAGCGCCGGAATGAATTAAGCACTTAAGCCAAGGTACCACTGTATGCCCTTTGATTGTATGCCCTGTATTCCCCACTATGCAGCTGGGGAAACCTCTATTTCCATGCCTTTATGTTGGGCATGGGGAACCTGGAATCTGAACATGGCCCTTCAGGCCTCTCTGCCTGGCCCTCAGGACTCCCCTTAGGCCACACAATTACCCTTGCTCTGATCATGCCTCTTGCTTTCCTGGATGGGGGATAGAATATGTGTAGAAACTACCCTAATATACAAAGGTAAAGTTTACATTCATTGCTCAACCCAATTTTGCCTCTGGCCCCACTCACCACTGATATGTGGCCCCTGGAAAGTTGCCCACAAGGGAATGCGGCCCTTGGACTGAACATGCTTTCCCACTTAAATGATGATCTCCCTTAAGTGATGGCAGATTATCTTGGATAAGGTATGATTCATTTTATGCTTAGATACAAAGACTTTATTGGCTCCACCAGGCACAGAGGCTCACCTGGCACTCATTTTGGCTGGCAGGAACACCCCATATATTTTGGGAATGCTAATGAAAGCCTTAATCCTTTTCCTATTTTTTTCTGTCATTATATTTTGTGTGTGTTTGTTATGCTGTGTATATATATGTGTGTGCCATTTCAACTAACATTTTGTTGTGTTTCCACTGGTTTCTCTTGCACATTTCTTTTGTTTCTAGTGATGCTGAGTGTGGTCGCACTGGCCTTTAGTAGAAAAAGTTTATACATTACGCAGCTGTCCACTGACGTTTCTAGGCTTTGTTTCAACCTGCATAATGCAAGGTCAGACTTTACAGAGTGTATTCTGGCTTGCCAATTTCTATTTGTTCTTGATTTCAGGAACATGTGCTATTTGAAAGGGAAACATGCCGGTATTGCTGTGTAATCAATTTGATTAAAATGTACGCACATATTAGTTTAGAACAAAGGCAAGCAAGGGAGGGACATGACAGCAGTCTATAAAATTATTATTTATCATTGTTTTCTCTCTTGGCTGACGCCTAGAATTTTAACTCTTTTCACATTAGAAAGTCCATCATGGCTGCCAAGCGTTTTGGCATAAATATACAAAATTCATATTCCATTGTTTTAAAAAATTAAAAGCCTCTGTTGTTTTATTGGTAGTAGTAATATTGAGAACTTCTGTTTTTTGTTTACTTACTTGCTTGTGTCATCTTTTCTCTTGAATATATAAAGTGCAGCTTGTTTGTCTGTAACCGGATAGTCTTGTGTCGGCTGCCCTAGTTGCCAATTTGTCTGGATGACTCTGGGGGGTCTTTGCAGGCAACAGCATTGCTGGGAGGGTTACGCAGTTGTAAGAAATTGGTCACTCATTCATAGTCTGGAATTTGAAGGATAAATGCAGTCCTGTTATAGTGCAGCTGGAAGTGTCTTGCAACAGACCAGCACCAAGGGAGCAAAATATTGCTTTTTAGTGTCCAGCGTTAGGTGACCCAAGGCTTGGTAGTGACCTCTAGGCCTGAATTACCACCACCCAGATAACTACAGTAACAAACCACTGTCATGGGGATATTGCAGATAATTCTTAGAGGCCTCTGTATGTGGGTTTCCTAGCCTAGCCTTTAAAGACCAGCAGAGCATACCTGTTTTGTTCAGACTTCGGCAGCCATTTTTCAAATGTGCCACCATCTCAGAAACTCAGCAGGCTTGACTGGAACAGGAGCTGTTTTTGTGTTCTGGCAGGAATGCTACAGAACGGAAAGAAGTTTGATTCCTCCCGAGATCGAAACAAGCCTTTCAGGTTCAAGATCGGCAGGCAAGAGGTCATTAAAGGATTTGAGGAAGGTACTGCACAGGTATGCAGGATTATGCTGATGCTCTTTTCAGAACCGATAGAACAAGTACAATAATGAGGGGTTAACATCATAGGAAGGGTGGGAAGAGTGTCATATTTATAGTCTCGGAGTGGAGCATAATGTGCATGGACTTGTATGCTGCTTTGAATATAAACAGCATTCAGCAGGACATGGCTGCAATCCTATGTACACACTTACCTGATAGGAAGTCCAGTTTAACTCAGTGGGATTTGATTCTGAGTAGACATACCTAGGATTGCCCTTTAAAGTTTTGGAACCCAGGGGCATTACTCCAGCACTTCCTGCTTCAGCCTGTCGGAGCATCAATTGGCTATGTTCCCGCTATCACCATAAATTCAGCAGAGATCAACTTTTGCTGCACATCTGAAAATGCTCCAGGACCTACATTTGCAGTAATTTAAGGAATGAATCAAATAGCACCTTTTAAAATTAATCGACCAGTGATTTAGGTTCGCAGTGGTGCATCGTAAATTCAGTCTAAGCAACATGCTTGGCAACTGCCTACTTGCAGGCTCAGTCAGCTGGGAGTCCATACAGCCAATGTGAATAGGCCTTAAACATCCTGGGCAAAGTCTGAATTTAGTGCAGTGAATTTGTTCATGACTGTATCTTCCTCAGGTGTAAGATCAACTGAGTGCCTCTGCAGCTGCTTCTGCTCTTCCTGGAGCAGAGCTTTACCTTTTAGATTCCCGAAGCTGCTATATTACCAAATATACAACCTCCAGGTGGAGTGTGGCAGAGAAAATTATTCAGCATGTGTGAGGAATACCTTAAAGACGGCATTTTTCCACCCTCATGCGTGTTTTATTCAGAGGTTCATTCCATTATGTTCAGTGATGCTTACACCAATGAATTTGTTTCTAGAAGTGCAGTTTCTGCCATCCTAAGACATCCAACCTCTCATTGATATCCCACAATTAATTGCTTGCCTTGGTCAAGTGTCTGTTGGCTCCACCTAGTGGATTGTTGCATTGGGAATTACTGTGATGCCATTAATATATTATTTCCACCTGTTGGCAGATTGGCCAAAGTACCATTCTGCATAGCACTACTGCAAATTCCTGCGTTCTTCTGGTGGTGTTTGGTTGCTAGATGGCAAGCATGGGGAACCTTTGGCTCTCCAGAGTTTGTTGGACTCCATTTCCTAGCAGCCCAGTAGTCAGGGATGATGGGACTTGTAGTCCAACAGCACCTAGAGAGCCACAGGTTAGTCGCCCCTCCTGCATGGTATCTTGACCCCTATTACTTAAAAGATGGCGATTATGACCTGTGACTTCCTCACTGGAACCACTCTTTTTTAACATACAGCACATCTTGAAATGCTTGCGTTGCTGACATGTTCTGATCTTTTCTTTTGCTTCTCGTTTTCTCTCTCCCATTTGCTCTCGTTTAAAAAAAATGCCAGATGAGCCTAGGACAAAGAGCAAAGTTGACCTGTACACCTGACATGGCGTATGGACCCATGGGGCACCCCGGAGTCATCCCTCCCAACGCTACTCTGATTTTTGACGTGGAGCTACTTAGGATAGAGTAAAGAGGGGCAACTGACTGAAAGCACCTGTTGATAACCACCCTTCTTTCCCCTTCCTCTGAATGGGAGGCATCTTCACTAGAATTTCCATCGTTTTCACTCAAGCTCTCATGCCTACCATGCCTCGTCTGAGGGTTGTTTTCCCCACTTCTTCCTCCCTTAGTGTTGGAATTTGTCCCCGATTAGATGCTTCTTTGCTGTAGAGACAGGAAAAAAAGATGGCTGTTACATCTGAGTTGTACATTTTATTTTAATTTGCATGTGAAGCTCCAAAATTGTGATTGAAACTATATATAATATATAAAATATATATATAAACTTATAAATATATAAAGTTTACTTACTGAAAAACCACTGCCTTATACACTTAAAGAAAAACACACACAAGGGTGCTCAGAAATCCAGTGTACATTTCGTACACGAGTGGGCATTAGCCAAACCAAGTTACCTGCGCTGCCACTTTTCCCTCAGTTTGTATGTTCTGCTTGCTGCTGTTTTAAAGAAAACATCTCACGTGATAACTTTTCAAGAAGAAAAATAAAATCTTGATACTTTATGGATTTCTGTGCTTTCTCATTTTTTTAAGCAGTTAAAAAAACTTAAGCGCAAGAATTCTTTCTCACTCCACTGGTAATATTGCTCCAGTTTTTGAATAATCGGATCTAATAACCAAAATTTTACTATAGGCACATCGGCAGCTTCCTTCTACTGATTCAGACCATTGGTCTATCTGAATATTGTCTACACTGACTGGCAGTGCCTTGCCAGGTTCTCAGGCAGGACTCTTTCCTAGCCCTACCCGGAGATGCCAGGGATTGAGTCTGTGACCTTCTGCATGCAAGGCAGGTGTCCTGCCACTGAGCTTCGGTGCTGTAGTTGAAGTCCAGAAACAAGTGCTTTTCATGTATTACAGGCAAAGACCGACTGATGTTCGTCCAATCGCGCATGCGCACCCAGTGCCAAACCTGGAAGTGACACAAGAACGTCACTAAAAGGGCCAAACCCTTTACGCGGGCCCTGCCAATGTGAGCAAAACAAGGATTGCCTGTATTTGAATAATTAAAACTCTGTACAAAATGTATTTAAGAAAGGATACCGTGTTCTACACTCAAAATATGCTCTGTAAATAATGGGCTACGTCCAGTGTCGTCAGATTTCTTTCTGCACAGCGAGACTTTATTTTCTCCTAGCTGTGGGCCCTTGTATGTCCCCAGAAGATTTGGGGGAGGTGTGCATGTAGCAGGTACTGAAAGGGAAAGGACAGGATAGCTCAACTTGCCTAGCTCATCATCATCTGTTCTGACAAGGTGTGTTTTTTTGAGGTTTCAGCCAGAGTCCTTTCCCATTACTTGCTATCTGGGCCTTTTGATTGATGATGTGCGTGATTGTAACCTGGGCCTTCTTACACCATTGAGCTACAATTCCTCCCATATGATTTTATCTCTGCTCTTTTTTTGGGGGAACTCATATGCCATACAAGCCCAGCTAGGCAATCTGTAAGTGATGGAACCCATTCAGGCTGACCAAAATGATACCCGCTTAGCTTTCACACTTGAGGTTAGTAGAAACACAGAAGCTAGAGTGGAATCACTGTGCAGGATTTGGGGCGGGTTTTTCCTCTTGGAAAATTAAATTACAAGCACATGGGGGCGGTAAATCTTAAAAACCACCTGATCTTTTATATCCTGGCCTGATCACAAAGATCTTCTGGCGGGGGGGAGTCTGTGTTGTTGATCCCCCCTGGCTCAGATTAACAGCCCGTAACTATTACCTATGCAGCCAGCATAGTGGGGTCAAGGCTGTGAAATGCTCTCCTGAGATGAGACAGGTACCCCCCACCTTGCTAAACTTTAGGTTTTAACAGCATTTTAATGTAGTGTTGTGTGATCATTTTTGTATTTGTCCCATTTTCTGTGGATTGCTTTGATGCACACCACTTAGAAACGTGAATAATTAAGAAGTATATAGATGCCTCAAATAAGCAGGAGGCAATAAAATGACAGGAGCCAGGCGTGGAGGAAGAAGGCTTAAGACTAGCATACAAGCTTTGGCTTGCTTTCTCAATAAAAATTAGCTTTGTTCAGGAACTTTATGGTTTGAGCATTCTGCCCCTACAATCATGAGGGTAAGGAGCTAATCTTTAAGTTCTTGAGCTGAGACTTACCTAAATGCTAAGCTTAGGCAACTAGATTAGTTATATCAGTGCACTCCATTCCACGTACTGTCACAAGTTGCAGATATATATAAGGATTATGATATTCATCAAGACAACCAAAGCATTAATTTGTGCTCTTTTCCTCTCAGCTTTGTTGTAGAATTATGCCACTGTAATTTTCAAATAAGGGAATTCTGTTTCCTTCCATTGTTAACATAAAAGCATTTTAGAAGGATAAGCTACTTTCTGGGCACGGTTTCTGGTGTAGCCTAAAAAAAACACCAACCTTAAATTCAACTGCGCCTCCGACAATGGCGGATTCCCTCTGATTCAGAGGGAGATAGCTCCACAGAAACTGGGTCTTACCGCTGCAGCGAAGCGGGGACCCTTTCAAAAATCGCAGGCGGAAGAAGCCTGCGACCGTGGGACTCGGCGGGCACCTTTTGCGCCCCCCCCCCCCCGTTTAGCAAAGGGACCCTATTAAGGGCTCCGGAGCGAGACGGGGGTTGTCGTGGTGCTGAGAGTCAATCGCTACTTCTGCGGAGCGAAGCTGCACAGCCGATGTCGGAGAGCGCTGTCCTTTTTCCTGAGACAATTCGGACTTTAAACAACAACCCATGGGTAGGATAATTGAAACTTTTGGACTTAAAAAACATCTCTGAATTTGAACCGAGACGGGAAGGTGTAAACAGGAAGTCTGCCTCCCGTTCCTTGTATAAAGAATAAAGCAAAGATCTTATAAACTAAAAGCCGGGTAAATTGACAGCTGGGAATTTCCTGCATTTTCAAGCATCAACCCCCCCTAGCCAGCAGGAGGAAAGGGGGAGAAATTTGACTTTTAAATCCTGCTGAGAGTGTGCTAAGAAAGTAAGCCTCCATTGTCCCTAATCTGGGGACGGAATGACAGGAAAGAAATCGTCGGTGATGCCTACAACTGACAGATAGAACTGGAAAAGGCGAAAAAAATAACAATTCTAAAGCTCCCTTCTGCCTGTTTGTTTTACGTTGAAAGGAAACAAAATACCTGAGAACTGAAAGTAACTTTTTCCTTGTTGGTTACATTGTAAAAATGGATGCCAAAAAGTAACTGCACCCCCTAGAGGAAGTCAGCTAGCGTGTTTGTTACAATCTACAAAGAGAACAACGTAACTGGGAAAAATAGACTGTGGGATTAGCTCCCTGACCTTGACAAAATGACTAGAAAGGAAGTGTTATCTACCCTGGACAAAATATATGATGTACTGCTCCAGCTGGATGAGAAAGTATCTTGGATGAATCAACAGACGGCCTATATAACAGCTGCAGTTAACAAGGAGGTGTTAAGGGGAAATGCAGGCACAGAAACTGCACAACAACTTTCTCAGGAAGCTGGTCTAACAGAGCAAGTGCAAGGGCAGAGAAAGGTGGAAGAGGTTGTGAATGCACCTCAAAAGATAAAGAGATCTCAAATCCTACATGACCAAAAGTTGCAACATTGGGAAATGGAAATTGGAGGACACTGGTTAAATTTTGGACTTAAGAAAAGTCTTATCTCTGGTGGGACTGTGAAACAGGTGGTAGATCACTTTTGGAATAACTGCTTTTTGGATTACAAATTAAAGGATGGGGAGTGCATCACCGGGGAATGGGACAACTGGATGAAAGGAAATGAAGAATATTACTGTACGGAACTCCCCGGAGATTGGCTCCCCAAAGAGAAAGAGAAGAAGTTACAAAAGAACCCAACGGGGAACAAGGATGTATGCAACTACAAACAGAAACAAGAAAACCCGCAGAGGGGGCTTAGAACTGACCTAAGGGCCTCAGACATTAGAACACCGGACTGAGGATGGTATAATGATATAAGGACTGACATTAACCGGAACCAGAAAAAGGGACGTTGGACAGATTTAGAATGAGAAATGCTTTTTGTAATAAACCTATACTTATGGAATTAGTGTAATACTAATGAAATATTAAGAGATGTTGGAAAGGAATAATTGGCTTTAGTAATAAGATAAGGATTAATGAGATTAATATAAAAAATGAAGAGGTATGAGTAATAAGGCTGAATTTGCTGAACAATTTTTTAACTGGAATACAAAGAGGGAGGTGAGAGGAAGTGAGGAGAACAAGTGAAAGAATGTCGAAAAAAAATCTGAAAGGAGGGATTTTATTTTTTATTTTTCATTTTTGTCTTGCTTTTGAGTTGAATTTTTGATTATTGTAATTTCTTTTTTCTTTTTTCTGTAATCTTTTTGTGTCTAATTTCTGTTGTTGTCTTTGTAATCTTTTTTTCTTTTCCTTAAAACTTAATAAAATATCAATAAAAAATAAATAAATTCAACTGCATCAACAGAAGTGTACAAGGACATTAATACCTTGGCAAGCCACCCTTTCCCCCATTCCTTTTAAATTGGTCTCATTCCTTGTATTCTGTTGCATCACAAGGAAAATATTGAAGAGATTTCATCCAAATAACCCTCTAGGCCAGTGTTTCCCAACCTTTTTTGGGCAAAGGCACACGGAGGTAGGCTGGTGTGCCGTGGGAGGGAGGCGGGCGACTCGGGCGGCGAGAGCGGCACGCGGGGCGGCGAGCGAGCTCCCTCCCACATCCCATCGCCGCTCGCTTCGGCCGGCCTACTGGGCTGTCGCAGGCGGAAGGCCTGCGCATGCGTGAGGTTTTCGCGCCTTCCTCCAGTAGGCCGGCCGAAGCGAGTGGCGATGGGATGTGGGAGGGAGCTCGCTCGCCGCCCCCGCCTCTCGCCGCCCGCCTCCCTCCCACGGAACACAAGGCAACGTTCCGCGGCACACTAGTGTGCCGCGGAACACCGGTTGGGAAACACTGCTCTAGGCACTTGCTTTCCATATCCTTGTGCAGAAAGCAAAAACTGTTTACTTTGTGTGCACACAGAAAAACAGGGCCCCTAAAATAAGCTCTAGAAGAGCAATCTGTGAATCTCCTCTGTCAATGAAACCCCAAAGACACTGCTTTGCTGAGTAATCAGCACTAAGAACAGTTGGTTTTATATTCTCAGAGCCAAAGAAACATTAAAATCTGAATAAACACATAGTAACAGAAATTAAAAGGAAAATGGCATACTATTTTTATTTGTCAAATGAACAAAGTTAAAACTTAAAGTTATGTCTGTCACTTAGAAGAGCAAGCAACATTAACAGCAAAACGAAAAGCCAGACCAGAAAAACATTGTCAAAAAAAATTGACAGTCTTTGGATGGACACAATAAGCCTAGAACTCCTTTCATCTTTTGAAGAGCTTCACTGTGGAGATGAGTTTGTCGTTTTAGTTGTCCTTGCAGATGAACTATGGATTCAAAACCCAAGATAGTAGGACAGGCGGCCAGGCAAATAGACCACTGCAGCAAATGCCAAATGAACTCTGCTATTCTCTGTAACAAAGCTCTTTAAAATACATCTTGGAGCCAGTTCACTACCCTAATTGCATCAGACATTATTAAGCTGAATTTTTCCCTAAGGTTAGATGAACACTGGGCATAGTATCTCACTTGCAAACCTCATTCCCTACTTGCAGCTCTTTTCTAAAGCATATCTTCATGCCACTGAAAAAGACAAATTGTGAAAATACATTTATGAAACCAAAACACAAAATAAGTGTACTTTTCTAACAGATTAAATACAGAATTTTATCCTGGAATGTTTTACATGTTCTCACAACTGTAATGATTATATTGATTAAATATTCAAAAAGCCTTTTTATAAGGCTCTGAGCTGTAGGAGATTTCTACAAAAGTGTACCAAATTCTATGGCTAACCTTAATTTCAAAGGCAGGGCAGTCACGAGTCTTTCCAAAACTGGGATTATAAAGCTATATTTGCACTAAATCTAGCATCCCAAAATGTCCTTGCTCCAAACTAATCATGCACATTTTGTGGGGCACTTAGTTTAGAAACACCGATAGGATTTTTTAAAAGGAAAAAAAAAGTCCAAAAGAGCCAGTTCCTCATAGAGGTTATAATTTTTATTTTGGTGGGTCTGTATTTATTCCGTATTTCTCCTTCAGAAGTTTGAGCTGTTCTTCCTTCTTCTTTGTATCCATTTTTTGGAATGCCTGTAAAAAAACAAAAATATTATTAACAAAAGACCACTCTTTAGTCAAAACAGCTTCATCCCATCTATTTAATTCAAAGCAATCTCACTTTTTTATTTAAATGATTATCTTATCAATTTAAATGATAAACTGGCAACTTGCCTTGCTACCAAGAAAAGCAGACACTTTATATTAACTATGTTCCAAAACACATTTATTTAATTCCTCAGGAAAGGTATTTGGGAAAGAACAGCTTGACCTAAATAATACTGCAAAGCAGCCTCATGTTGTGCCCATGCTGCTCTAAGATTTTCACAAATCAGGAGGTGGAACAGAGGAGAAATTGCTGAGTGCCCCCAAGCACACCTGTTAACAGGCTTTTATAAGGCATCTCCTCTCATCATCTGTGGAAAGATTCACTCCAAGTAACCAAGCAAAGAAGCTTTGTGAACTGGATGAAAGAAATGTGATCCCTTTCTTTGTTTTAAGACATCAATGTGGTACAAGCAACTAAACTAACCCCCATTCCGCCGCCCCCCTTTTTGCTGGCATTTTAACTTCTGCGGAAAAAACCCACATTTGTCCCATAGACAAGACAGATGCAGGGCTTCTAAGAGACATACAGTGGTACCTCGCAAGACGAACGCCTCGCAAGACGGAAAACCCGCTAGACGAAAGGGTTTTCCGTCGCGGAGGCGCTTCACAAAACGAATTTCCCTATGGGCTTCCTTCGCAAGACGAAAGCCCATAGGGAAATCTCCGGGACGACGGGGAAGCGCAGCGCCTCTTCCCCACTGTCCTCGGACCTCCTCCCGCCGCCAGGCTTCGGAAGGCTGCTCCGAAGCCTGGCGGGGGGGGGGGGGCGGAGAGGTTTTTTAAAAACCCCGGGACAGCGGGGGACTTCTCCGCTGTCCGGGGCGATTTTTAAATGCTGCCGGGCGGCAGCATTTAAAAAAACCCGGGACAGCGGGTTTAAAATCGCCCCGGGCGGCGCGTTTCTCCGCTGTCCCGGAGGGCTTTTGAAGGCAGGCGGGGGGAGCAAAGACTTTCGCCCCCCGCCCGCCTTCAGAAGAGGTCCTGGACCTCTTCTGAAGGCGGGCGGGGGGCGAAAGGCTTTGCTCTCCCCTGCCTGCCTTCCTGGGAGAGCGGAGAAAGGCAGCGCTTTTCTCCGCTGTCCCGGGAAGGCAGGCAGGGGGGAGCAAAGACTTTTGCCCCCCGCCGGCCTTCAGAAGAGGTCCAGGACCTCTTCTGAAGGCTGGCGGGGGGCAAAAGTCTTTGTCCCCCCTGCCTGCCTTCCCGGGGGCTTTTAAATCGCCCCGGGACAGCGGAGAACTCCTCCGCTGTCCCAGGGTTTTTTAAAATGCTGGGGGTGGGAAGAAAAGCCCTTCGCCCCCCCCCCCCAGCCTTCAGAAGAGGTCGGGGGACAGACTGTCCCCGGACCTGGTCTGAAGTCGGTTTCCCTAGGAACGCATTAATTGATTTTCAATGCATTCCTATGGGAAACCGTGCTTCGCAAGACGAAAAACTCGCAAGAAGAAAAAACTTGCGGAACGAATTAATTTCGTCTTGCGGGGCACCACTGTATCAAGATCTGCACAGATTCAGTCAATCAATCAATGCACAGATTAAAACCCTGACATCTTTGTACCTGTTCTGACCCTCAAGAGAGATTTGAACATAAATGCCAGTTATGTTAGTAGCCAAAGCAGCTCAAAACCAAGATGCTAGACTGAGGAGTCAAACCATTCAAATCATTTGCTCATTTTCTTTCTGTGGTACACAGAAATCCAGACCTTTCCCACAAAGTTATTTCAGAGTCTGCAACAGTGAGTTAAAGCATTGAAACAACAAGCCTCTATCCTGCCTGCTGGTTCCTCGTCCATACAGTGGGCTGGACAAACCTAACACGTAAGGAAATCCTGTGAGATTGTGCATTTTCCCGTCCACTCTGAATACTCTGGCTGGGGCATTCAGTCAATACCTTGCTCTGAATACGCAGCCTGTATTGAACTTGTTCTGTTCCGAGTTTGATAAACACTTTTCAAGAGTGATTCAGGTTTTTTGATTTACACAAAATACAGATTCACTTCAATTTTCAGCTGAAGTAGTTTAGAGGATATTTGCTTTAGAGAACCTTAAGGGAGACACAATCTGATTAGAAATAAACAGGACTGGAAGAGTCCTGTTTCCTTCATACAAGCCCCTGCTATTGAGGGTAAATAAAGAGGAAACACCCCAATTCACTTATACGGAATTATTCCAGCACTGTTTTCACAATGATCTTATAAAAAAGTTAATCTCATGTTCAAATGTTTTAAGAAAAGCTCTTGTACTTGCCCTGTTTGCATTATAGTACAAGACAACAAGGTATCTGTTGCACACGTTGAATCCTGACAGGTGGTCACAAGCATTCTTGGCATCAAAGATATCTTCATAGACAACGTAGGCTGTACCTCTAGTCTCAGGAGTATTTCCTCTGTAACAAAAAACAAAACAAAAAATTAATGTTAGCAAAAGTTAAGAAAAAAATCATGTTAATATTTACACCTCTTTGTTGTAATCACTGTTACATTCTGACCCTAGGAAAGGCAGTGACATCAATCCTATGCTGTCTCACTTGGAGGTGAACCCAATGAAACTGTGCATTAGATTGGGCTGCGTACAGTAACAATTTTCTCACAACAAATTGCTCCCTTTTGGGTCTATTAATTATCCTCCCTGTAAAAAAACAAAACAAAAAAACCCAACCCAAACACACACACAACCAAAACTCTCTACATAATTCTAATATTTTCACTCACGAATATCCCCCATATTATCTATATCTCTCTGTACATTGCCTATATTGGTTTGTTCCCCAAACAGAATTCAAATCAAGTGGGCTGATATATTTAGACCCCCAACTGCTTTATTTTACATTGAAAGCTGCAATAATGATCTGTCAGTCAACTAGAAAGCTACTTGACATAAGTAAGAAAATCCTAATTTCTATGCTTTGTTTGGCAACGTACAACAGACTTACACTCTGATTTGTCGAATCGGTCCATATTTTCCAAAAATGTCATACATTTCTTCTGCTGTGATCTTATACGGTAAGTTTCTGATATATAAAATTCGATTCACTTCAGGGGGCAGACGGATCTAGAGTCGGTAAAAATTACAAACCAGAAACAAATTAGCAACATGATTTCTTTGTATGGTATGTAGATATGTAATCAGAGAATAATTTTAACTTTGGCACTGCAGAGGGTTGGACTAGATGACCCTTAGGGGTCCTTCCAACTCTATGCAATTCTATGACTCCGCCTTGTTGCAAGTGCTATCCAGGTCATCCCCAACCAGCTTTGCTAACAGAAAAAGCACGACTCCTGGTCTCTACATCGGAGAAAGGTTGGAGGGTGAGTAGTTATGCAACCCCTGAGCCAAGGAAAAGAGCAACTACACAACCTTTAGAAGACATTCCAAGGCAGCCCTGTATGGGGAAGTTTTTAGATGTTTTATTTCAATCAATCAATCAATCAATCAACCAACCAATCAATCAACATTTACTGGCATAGAGGACAGAACCATAGGAGTCGACAAATGAAAATTGGCATCTGTTCACAAGAGGAGATGCTTCGGGAGAAAAACCATAAAGGCCTAGTGGAGGGTTTAATCTTTTATTGTGTTTTTATATAAGTTGGAAGCCACCCAGAGTGGCTGGGGCAAACTTGTCAAGTGGGTGAGGAATAATAATAATAATGGCAGCCCCACAATATATGGGGATACCCTTCAGAGCCCGAAGGCTAATGATACTAATGGTAGCCCCACAACATATGGGGGTGCCTCCCCAGAGCCCAAAGTAGGCTAATAATAATAATGCTCACCACAACATATAGGGGTGCCCCCCGAGCCCGAAGGCTAATTAATAATAACAATAATAATGGCAGCCCCACAACATATAGGGGAGCACCCCTGAACCCGAAGACTAATAATAATAATGGCAACCCCACAATATATTGGGGTGCCCCCCCCGAGCCCGAAGGCTAATAAATAATAATAATGACAGCTCCACAACATATGAGGTGCCCCGCAAAGCCCGAAGAAGGCTAATAATAATAATAATAATAATGGCAGCCCCACAACATATTGGGTGCCCCCCAAAGCCCGAAGGCGGCCAATAATAATAATAATAATGGCAGCCGCACAACATATGGGAGTGCCGCCCCCAGCCCGAAGGAGGCTACCCCAGCGGACCCGCTTCACGCCCTTTCCCACGTGACTCGCCTTCCTGAATGCCCCGAAAGTGGAGGAGGAAGAGGCGCAGAACCAGACGCGGAAGGCGGCGAGAGAGAGAGGGGGGCAGAAAGGAGAAGAGGAGTCGGAAGCGAGGAAAGGCCAGCCGACGTCCAAAATGGCCCCGCCACGCACAGGAGAAAGGGAAAGGGGGGTCCCAGCTTACATTGGCGCGTTTCGCCGCTTGCATCGCCATGGCGGCGGCCTTGTGTGGGAAGCTGCTGCCGCGACTGACCGAGCGAGAGGGCCGCGAAGCCTCAGTACAGCCACAACCGCGTCCTGCGCCTGCGCCGGAAGAAGGCGCGCGGGGAACATCCGCTTGGCTTCGCCTCTCTCCCGGATATGACGTCTGACTTCCGACGCTCCGCCATAAGAGTGGCTGGGGATGGGGTGGATAATCTGGAGCGGGTCTAGTTGCTGCTGATTCTCTCCCCCCCCCCCTTCTTCTTCTTCTTTTGAAAAAGCTGCTTAAGTCCAAAGCTCAGCAGCCAAAGGAGGCAATTTACTGCAGGAGAAAAAAAGTTAACCTATAAAGGGGAGGGAGGAACTCCATGGGAACTTACGTAATTCTTGTTTTGTTTTAGTAGCACCTTAAAGACCAACTAAGTTAGTTCTTGGTATGAGCTTTCGTGTGCATGCACACTTCTTCAGATGTGCATGCACACGAAAGCTCATACCAAGAACTAACTTAGTTGGTCTTTAAGGTGCTACTGGAAGGAATTTTTTTTGTTTTGACTATGGCAGACCAACACGGCTACCTATCTGTAATTGTTTTGTTTTGTTTTGGATGTCAAAATTGAGGTATCGTGGATATCTGATAATTGTCTCTGATTGCATTACCTGGGCAGCCTGGCCATTCTTTTGTGTTTCAGTTAAAAACAATAAAGTGATACAGAAAAAGAAGGAGGAAAGGGGAGAGGGAGAAAAACAACAACACAGATACATATAAAAACAAAAATATACAAAAAAGTTAGCAATACAGTGATACCTCAGGTTAAGTACTTAATTCGTTCCGGAGGTCCGTACTTAACCGGAAACTGTTCTTAGCCTGAAGCACCACTTTAGCTAATGGGACCTCCCGCTGCTGCCACACCGCCAGAGCATGGTTTCTGTTCTCATCCTGAAGCAAAGTTCTTAACCTGAGGTACTATTTCTGGGTTAGCGGAATCTGTAACCTGAAGCCTATGTAACCTGAAGCCTATGTAACCCGAGGTACCACTGTATATGATATTCCCATACATTCTTGTATAAATTGGTATAGTGTTATTGTCCTAGTGTAGGCATAGGCAAACTTGGCCCGCCAGATGTTTTGAGACTACAATTCCCATCATACCTAACCACTGGACCTGTTAGCTAGGGGTGATGGGAGTTGTAGTCCCAAAAACATCTGGAGGGCCGAGTTTGCCTATGCCTGCCCTAGTGCTTATTTAAATGCTAATAGTCTACTAAATTTTGCATAAACTAATTCCAAATGCTATCGTATTTATCCATACAGAGTCTGCGCCTGTAAGCAGTCTGTTCATAAACTGCCATTGATGTCATATCGTCAGTCCATTGATTGAAGGGTATAACATATCTTTATTTTTCCAATTCCTCAGTATCTTTTGGTCACCGTTAAGGCATGGAATATCCATTTCCGTTGTCCCGCTGATAATTTCCATACTGCAGGTATATAGTTCAATAAAATATTCTCCGCTGAAAGATTTAACTTTTTCTGCACAGTCATATAGTTACACAGTCCAGCACTTTCTCCCAAAGCTTGTTAAGTAAAGAGCACTGTGCAAACATGTGTTTCAGAGAGACATATTTCAGAAAGCCTGAAATGATGTGATTTAGCCACAAGAGGGTAGCCGCAGAGTGTATTGTCGATTAAATGCTTTGGGAGTATTATTCCGCCAGGTGGCGCTGGCCCAAGCCTTTGTGGGAAATTTTGGATTTCCACCTAAAGTCAGCAGCACAGACTTACAATAGCAATAATGATAGACTGATAACTCCCTTGGTTGAAGATGAGATAGCCTAGTTCCTTAGATGCACAGGAAGCAGAAGATGCCACAGATGTTTTATCCCTGCCTGCCTCTCAGCCTTACATGCCTGAAACACAAAAGCAGCAGAAATAATCCACAACGAGCCTCTGTTGCCCAGTAAGAGCCAGGGGTCTACATACCCTCAACAATGACTTATATTTCTTCACATGTGGCTTGAGGACCACGGGACAATATGTCCACAGATCTCCTTCCCATAGGTGATTGAATGTGAATTTTTTTGTTACTGTGTTCATTAGTCAGAATCTTTATTTGTTGGGATTACTATTACAATCAAACCAGCCTTTTACCCAATTTTATTTTATGAATCTGAAATAAATAGGGAAGGGAGCAAATTGAGACCGCTCTCCACACATTACTAATAACCCCGTGTAGTATTTATGGATTATGTTTTTTAAAACTTTTTATTAACACATACTGCACTACTTCATTAATTTAGACTCATGGGCTTAATTTTTTCTATACGGTTTTTGCATGCTTGATAAACAAGGTACTGCTTATTAATGAACAGATAGGTTGCTTTTCAAAATTCCTCCATCAAATGAACTTTTATCCTATGATAAAAGAACTGCTTGGAATGACATAAATCTTCAACACATGTCTAGAAATAATAATAATAATAATTATTACTAAAGATTTAGAAAAATCTAAAATTTTCAAAGCACTGCACACATATTGATAGTAAAAATGGCCTTTGCCCCCAAGCTTGCAATGATACACATGATACAAAAGGAAAAAGGAATGGGGAGGGAAGAGGAAAGCAAACCTTTGAAGCCAATGGATGGGGCCAGGCCCAGTGGTGGAGGAATCCTCTCCAGCACCCGGAGCGGCGCAGCCCGTACAGACTGCGCATGTGCAGCATCTCGCATGTGTGCACTCCTTATGGAATGCCGCACATGCGCAATCCATATGGGCTGCCGCTCGAGCGGTATCCCATACGGACTGCACACGCCCTCGGCCGTTCTACAGCTGGGGGGGGGGCAAAGGCCATCTTGTCACCCCTCCCAGAGTGGCACCTGGGGCGGCCCGCCCCCTCCACCCCCCTGGCCACCCCTGGTCTTCTTCTCCAATATGTGAACTGCATTTTTGTGTAAGTCCATCTCTGTTGGTACCTTTTTCTTAGAAGTGCTTCTAGTTTTTCAATCTAGGACTTCAAGGCAAGGGTAAGCAACATCTCCACAATTAAGAAATTCTTGGAGCCAGGCAGCCAGAGGAAATTTGAATTAGACGACAAGGCTCTTCAATAGATCAGGAAGATTTTCAACGTCTGAGAACATCTGCTATGAAGATCACTACAAATACTGGCATGATTTTAACAAATCTGTGTGACGTCTCTTTTACTAGTTGGAGGATTAACAGTGTAGTCCTATTCATGTCTATTCAGCATTAGTTCCATTTGAATTCAGCGTAGCTTACTTCTGGGTAAATGTAGGTATAGGATTGGAGCCTAAATCCGTAAAATAGTATTTCCTCTTGGTTCCATAGTCTCAAATGCTTTTGACTGCAAACTCTTGAAAAATGTAGTAGATGAGAACTCTTTTGTGAAGATTCTGAGGCCTCCTTTAGATATTAGTCTAATGCAACCTTCCCAAACCTGGTATGAAACCTTCCAGGGGTTTTGGACTACAGCTCCCATCAGCTACAGCCAGCATGACCAGCAGTCAAAGAATGAAATTGCTAGAGCCAGCAAACATTTGATATTGTGCAAGGATTTTTTTCAGCCGGAACTCACTGGAACTGAGTTCCACCACCTCTCTGGTGCATTCCAGAGTTCAAGTGCTACTGCGTAGAGGATCACAATAATGGCACTGTGTAAATCCACAAAAGGAGATGATGATAATACTGTGTGATGGTACAATAAAATGAAATAAAGCATTCTACAGCTTTTGTACTTCAGTGCCATGTTTTGCTTGAGCTGTCAATAACATGTCTGTTCTGTCATGACTAGTTCCTGTTGTGCTTTGCGTAGATGTGATGGGATCTGTGTGGTCCTGCTGGATTAGAGGCAAGCAAAAGATATCCTATTAACGTACTCCCTGCCAGAAAATGACCTGTTTTCATAGCCTTCTACAGCAATTAGACTGACCAGCCATAGCAGCAGTTCTTTACCAGTCCACCATGCTATCCTCAAGGAACGTTCTTCTCAGTTTTATGATTTGTCACAAATTTGTCAAAGCTAGACAACAAATATGTGATTTTCACTTGATCATCCGGATCAGGTATCTTACATAACAAATCAAGAATAATTTTTGGATTGCCTGTAGAAATCCAGTTTTGGATACCTTTAATTGTTGTGATCTAGTCGCCCCAACCCCCGTCAAAAGGTGGGTGGCACCAACAGGGAAGCCCTGTGTAGTTGACCTTTTTCTGTTTTTTTGTGGCTAGCAGCTGCAACCAGAGACTGCAGTGGCCCCCTGCCCAGTTATACAAAGGTTTCAGTTGAATATACAGTACTAAGACCAGGAATGTTTGCCCTCAGTGCAGCTGTACAGATTTACAATAAACCGAGTTGCATCATGTTACGCAAGCGTGAGACAACCTTTCCCATTGTGAATTAACTTTGAGTGACTGATTTGTTGTAGGTGAAAAGTCTCACGAAAGGCAGAGTAAGTGTTTTTCTATTTGCAATAGGGAGTTCCTGCTACAGATAAGCTGTTCTCTCGGAAGGTGGAGCTTCTGAGCTTTTATAACCCTGAGCCACACAAGTTCGGGGCTCGCTTGAGAAGAACTTCCACTTGTTCAGGACTTGCAGCAGGTTAGTATTCTAAGGTAAATGATTGCTTTAGAGAGTCATTGCTCAAGAGCAACACCCTGGACAGAGAAGTAGTGCAGGGACAATTTCCAAAGACCTCACCTCTGCCCAAAGGTTTTCTTCTTCTTACCCGCAGAGTACTAAAGGTTTGTGGGTTGGGGAGGGGGGATACTGTAATCCTCAGAACAGAGACATTTCCCTTTGGACAGACCAAAGGCAGGAGCTGGGCAGTGGGCAGAGTTCTAAAAATAAAATGGGGTTGGTCTTTGTTGCACCTCAGAGGAAAAAGAAATGTTGGGTAAGAATGGGAAAGAAATTAGATTCATTTAAAAAATAGTAACTCACCAAATTTCATTTCCCAAAAACATAGCTATCCCTTGAAATTTGACTGCAGTTCTCCAGCCAAACAATGTGTAAAAACACATATGGCGAGGTAAAATGTGCATATAAATGCATATATTATTGGAAGGAATGTAGAAATGGGTGTGGTTATCCAGGG